ATAAGAAAATGTTTAAATAATGGAAAATCAGATGATAGAAGATAGAATATTTATTATTATATTACATTTTATTAAAACAATATTTTTTGTCTTTTAATAATTAATGTTTTTTAATTGGTAAAAAAGTTTAATAATTTTAGTTTAATAAATTTAAAAAAAATTTGAAAGTTTCAATTTAATTTATTCAGAAATCTAAATCTTTAAATCTTTAATTTTAAAAAATTTTAATCATAAAATAAGAAAAATTAATAAATTATAAATGAAAACAAAATTTATTCCGAAAAATAAATATATAAATATATCAATTTATTTATTTAATCATCGATAAATTTTTCTACTTATATCATCTTATATTTTATTATCTTATGTGTTGTTGTCTACTAATTCCAATTCTATATATTATTAGCAACAAATAACACCAAAATTGTTTTTTTAAAATGGATTTTAAATTTGTTGTAAATAATCAAATTCAAGCTTCATAAAGATTATACAACAATTCGTTCTCCTAAATATTACTAAAAAATTACTAAAAAATTATTTATGTGAATAATTTTTATTGGTTAAATTATAATATGTGATAAATCGCGATGAAATCTAAATTAACATAAAAAAATTGGGTATTTTCAAGCAAAAGTAAACTATTTTCTGTTATTTGTAGATGTTATTATTTCTTTCGATATATTTGATAATGAAGATAATGAAGATATTTTATATATCTAAAAAAAAAAATATATCGTGAAAAACTTTTTCTTACATTTAGAAATTCTGACTTGCTATGCGGAAATTTAAAAAAAAAAATTAAAAAATAGTTGATATATATACTTATTAACTTCCTGAAAACTATTACAATAAATATTGATTATACTTAACTCTAATATTATTTTTATTAGCAATTTTCTTATTTATTGATCCTTTTCTATGAGTTTTCTATAACAGTAAGATCTTAATGATAAAATTTTATTAATCAGATTTTAATATTAATAAATGATATCAAAACTTTTCAATTAATAGTTATCGAAAAAAATATTTAAGATCTTTATTATTTTATATTTAAGATCTCGAACGACGAGCATTTAATAAAATTGATACAATGTAAAATTCGATATCTTGACTTCTATATAAAATAGCTTCTTCGCTTTAAACATATATTTATATTATATTTTTATTAAATTGTATTTTATAAAATAAAAACTAGCTCATCAATAAATATTCATTACAGACTGTTGTTCATAAAATTCTGTCTAAAGGAATTGTTAATTTAAATTAAATAATTCTACTTGTCGTACAGGGTATTAAATAAATTATTTATGATAAATAAGCATACGTCCAATACAATTCGAACTCAAAAGTTCAATATTATATTATCATGACAATAGCTTAATTTTCAATCTTTTTATGTATTGATTATTATTATTTACTCAGAATATCCGTTGTAAATGAAAGCAGAATTATCAAAACGATAAGTTTTTGTAAAAAAAAAAGATCTAAAAATTTAATTTTTAGATATTAACTTATCCTATGACCAATAAAAAATATAAAAATATAATCACGATTTCAATCTGTTAATATCTAATTATTTTCAATCAATGCGTATAACCTAAAAATATCAAAAGGATGATCGTTATTAACTTGTATTTATCTTATAAAACTTACTTGTTTTTTATTAAACTTATCGTCGTGCATATTGATAATTTATAACATGTAAAATTTCTGTAACATTTTTTTTAAATAGTGCAAAAGAATTCAGAAAATTTCATAAAAACATGATAATTCACGAGGAACAATGTTCACACGTGACAAATTGGCGTTGTACTAGAATTTTTGATGCGAATGTCAGTAGTATTTGAAGTGGGGATATAAAGCACAATGTACAACATGTTTCGAATTCATTATGTATTTATAAAGGGCTGTCAATTCAACGGATGGTCCGGGTAAATTTAAATTGTAAGTAGACGCATTGCAGATTTCAAATAAAAGCATCGATAAGAGCGAATATGATATGCAAAAATGTCTATTTGGAAAAAAGAAAACTATATATTTTTATTTGTAAAGTTTGAATATTTTTAATATCAAAAATATTCAAGCTAAAAATGGTTTAACTTATTCGAGGTCAAAATTTTATTATAATATTATTTATCTTTAATTTTTTATAATATATTTTTATTTTAAATTTATACCAATTTTAATCTTTATCCTTCATAT